CCTTGAGAACACCCGTCTTGGTAAGTACCTTTTCTGCTTTTGACGTGTTGGTTTCTTTCTTTAGCTTGCTTCTGAGCTTGTACTCCTTCTTCCAGAGCTGGGTGGAAAGGTGGAGTCGTTGGAGCAGGACCTGGAGACGGCCAAGGCGACGTTTGGCCGGAATGCAGAGGCGATGGCCAAGTCCCTTGAAGAGCGACGTGCTCTCGAGGGGGAACTTGACCAGATGCGCAATGTTTCCTAGCTCATCGTCTCAGAGGTCTTCGGGTCAGCACCAAGTACCAGTGCTCCCACCATCCGCTGGTGGAGGTTCCGGATGAGGTTCGGGCCCTCATCACCGATGGGCCCTCATCTACGGGTCATCGAGGGTGTTGACTTTGGTGGCGACGTACCACCCGAACTTAGACTTCGCTGCCATCTGCAGTGGGTATGCCGACGGCTTGAGCACAGAGGACATCCAATTGCTCGAGGAGAGCTTGCTGCCACACTCAAAGTTGGTGGCCGAGCAAGTCTCCGCGTAGTGGGTGATGGATGCTCGTCGTGCGGACATGGCTGGAAGTGTGCGCTAGGAGGACGTCACCTAGCCTGCGGATGGCATGGAGCCTGGGTCAGAAGTGGACGTCGCCCCACCTCCAACCGAGCCGAATGTTGCCCAGTCGGAGGACGAGCAACCCCTTCCCTCACCGGTCAAGCCGGTAGTCAATGCCGTCGAGGAGCCGTAGTAGAAGTTTTAGAGTAGAAATACTTTAGCAAATGTAGAAGATAATGTCATGGGGGAGCCCCCTATGTAAAGAGTTTTTGTGTATTCATGAATGCAGTAACTTTGTTTTTGTGATGGAACTACTTCGTTCGGGGAAGCTTGTCCCGTCCGGTCCTTATTTTTACTTTATCATAACTTTGTTTTTTATTCCATTCTTTTTCGCACCTACCCGTTCGCACCGTAGGCTACAACCTTAAGAGCCCAGGCGTGGCCCACAAGGCTCATCCGCTCATAACCGTAGGTAGAGGCGGGGTGCGATCGGTCGAAATACTTAAAGCAAAGTTACGTAAGGCAATCAAATGAATGGACCACCCTTTCATTCGGGGAAAAATGTATCTTATCATATGATAGTAAAAAGAGAAGTGGCATTGCACCCCCGTGGAGCCCCTGAGCGACCCGGGCTTAAAAGTGTTCGGGTCGGGGTGCTCTATAGGAGCAAATGTTCAGTAAAAAATGATAAGACTGAATTTTAGGGGAAGAAACAACATAGTGGTTCGCTATTCCAAGTGTTGGTGAGAACATTGCCGTTGTCGTCCTTCAGTCGGTAGGCGTCCGATCGGATCACCTCAGTCGCCATATAGGGACCTTCAATCATCTGGATCCTTGCCCGCTACGCCCCCTTTCTTGGCCGCTGCTTCTTTGCCTTTTCCTTCCTTCAGCCCACCGGCCTATCGCAGAAGGCGCTTCAGGAGCTCAGTGCTTGTAGAGGTGTTTGATGGGGTAGGTTTGGTTGGTGCATGGGCTCTCCATGAGCTCATTGAAGTAGTCCGGAAGGCCTTGCTAGGGCTGCTTGCCCGTGTGATCAGCCACAGTGACCAACATGGAGTTGGCCGGTCGGTGATGATCTTTTTTGTTCTTTTTGCCCCTCATCCTGATCCTTGTGCTTGGCCTTGCCTTTACCATGTCCTCCATTGAAGCACTATGGGAATGGCACTTGCTGGATGCGTCGGCCAAAGGCCCGTGGTCCTGGGCCATCCGGGCTGGGACTCCGGTCGTCCGGCTGGCGATCGCGCCTAGGGTGTGTTTCACCACTCATCGCGATGGTCCAGTGCCGTGCTCGGCGGCTGTAGCGGTGAGCGGGTGGAGCGATTCACCTGGTGTGTCCCCACTCCCCTGGTGGCGAGAGAGGTCACGAGTTGGTGTCGTGATGCGGAGCTCTTCACCTGTTGAACGGCGGTGGTTTCCACCAGTGCCCGGAGGTCCGATGGATCGCCTGTTCCTAGGGGTCGTTTAGCTCGGGAAGGCCGCGTAGAAGCATTGCCACAGCGGTGATGTTCTAGCCAGCTCGAGTGAACTATGGGGGATCGTTCCCCCCCCCCATCCATGATGTTGCACTAGACCTGCCGGGCGCAACCCCGGGCATCGCTTGCCGGGTTATGCGCATGGGGCGCAGTGTGGTGCGCCGAGCGCGCCGGCATAGGTGATGGCTGGTTCTGCCGTCGTTGTCGTAGCTCCTCGCCGTGCTCTTGTGTGAGCACAAGGGTCCCCGTATGAGGGTCTGGAGGGGTGTGAGTCTACAAGGACTCTGCTACCACCGGCGGCTGTCCCAGAGCATCCGTCATAGCGCACTCCTGGGATGCTGGAGCCATCACTCTCAATATCGCCATCCATGAGGTTGAGAAAACAGGTGGGAGCATAGCTCGTCATTCCCATGAATTCAGACGTGAGAGGGGGCAGCGCCAGCATCCTTCGGAGTCCCCGGCCGTATGCATCCATAGGGGATGCGAGGCCATAGGGGAACCGGTCGCATGGCAGTCATGGCAGGGACAATGGGGTCCCTCCGAATAATCGGCAGAAGAAAGTAAATAGCGAGTAAATAACAATATGTACATTACTCATAGTGGGGTTTGAGCAGAGCATTTCCTTGGAATGAAGCGTAGGCGCCTCGTCGTTGAAGTCATTGGGTGTCCTGGAACCGACGGGGGGCGCCCCTCCGACAGGCACCGGGGTGGTTGCCTCCTCGCGGAGGTGTAGTACGCCGAGCCAATCGGCGACGAGTCCAGGCTTCCGAAGGGGAAGGCTTGGGATGGCTCGAAGATAGGTGGAATCCACATCCCAACAGGTGGGAGTGCGGGAAACTCTAGTGAGCAGAAGCAAGTCATATCGCTTGAGCCCGCCATAGTGAAGGTGGCAGAAAAGTGGGCCATCCGATGACCAAAAAGTGTGAACGTACAGCATCTTCCCCACGGATGGCGCCAACTCTCGGTGCAGAAAGTGACCAACACATAAATATTTGTAATTTTGCCATACGTTGTGATCGGATGTGGCCTAGCACTCAATGACACAGGGTTTATACTGGTTTAGGTAACGTGCCCTACGTCTAGTTTGAGTCGGTCGGTGGCTTTATTCCTGAGCCCAGGTGCTCAAAGTTTGCAGTGGGCTTACAAACGAGAAGGAGAAAGATGGGGGGTACAAGAGGTCTGGTCAGACTCTGGTCTGAAGGGCCAAGAGCGACGGGAGCTCCGCTATATGCTAAGTGTTCGAGCGTGTGCTCGAGGCTTGAACCTGGTGGTTCTGCTGTTGTGTACTGAATCAATCTAAGTGAACTGATCGCCCCCTTATTGGGATAGGGCGCATCCCCTTTTATAGATGAAGGGGATGGCCTTACAAGAGAGAGAGAGAGAATATGTATGCTACTAAGTCTTGTTGCCCACGCCAGAGGGTACCAGATAATGGTAGGCGCCCACAATACTGTGTAACGTCAGATGCATGTGGGAGGTTGCGTCGTCTTCTTCTGGTATGGCAGACGTCGGTGCCTGTCATACTGTTGATGCCCTAGAGGCATGTAGGGGGTTTTACCATGTTCACCCGGTACGGTAAATGTCGACGCCCATAACACTGTTGATGCCCAGAGGCATGTGGGGGAGCCTTACCATGTTTGTCTAGTATGGGTGTTGATGACTCCCACAATGATGTAGGGAAAATGTCGGCGCCTGCAACATTGCTTGGTTTTATCATGCCAAGAAGGTCACAGGGTACTATCCTGCAGGTGTACAGGGTATGGTTCTTGGTATTGCAGTTGACTTGAGTGCCAAACCTTACTTTCTCCGTCCGTTTCCTGGTCCTCACCGAGTGGGTATCCCTGGTCGGTTGGTCCTAGTTGGTTCTGATTGTGCTGGTGGGAGAAGAGCTGTAAGCAAAGGTTTGGTGCATCCCCGGTCGGAGACGCGAGTCGAAGTCGGAAGTGGTGTTTGGCCAGGCCTTCCGGTCGAAGAAACCATTCGAAGGTGGGCCGGAGTCGCAAGCGAGGGCTGAGGCCTTCCGGTCGGAGAGGCGGACCGGAGTCCTAAGGGGCGCCATTCCTCCTCGGCTAGGCCTTTTGGTCAGAGATTGGATCGCCCCTCTAGCCTATTTTTAGGTATCTAGGCCGGCCTAGGAGTTGTGCGTCATCCACAAAATTGTCTGCTGGGCTGAGCCTTTGCTGGTGAAGCCGGTCCACGAGGGACCCTAGGTTTATGAACCCGACACCAACATAGGTGCCGCCATTGAAGGTGAGCACCTCCAAACTAGAAGCATTATTTTGTAGCCAGGGCTCAACATCGTAGAGATCTAAGTCATTGATGCTGCAATGTTGTTTCTTGGTGGCGTCCATCCTACAGAAGTACTTTTGGGCATGGCTAGAGACTTGCATCGGTGTCTTGGTGGTAACAAAGTACCTAGAGATATTTTTCCAGTCGCCGCGGCCAAACAAAAGTAGGCCATGGAGAAACTTCCTACAATGAGTTAGCTTCATGTTAAAACAGTGATATATGACACAAATCACATGTCCATACTCTCAATACCCTTGCCAAAAAATATCTCAATGCATGCCTAATGATAATCAATAACCCACATGACATTCTTAGAATATGTACTAATTAATAATTCGCACAAGGATACGCAAAGCATTTGAAAAAATAGTGTGTCCTAAATAAAAACATCAAAATTCAAATGTGTGTGTGAAAGGAATTGATAACATATAGAAAATTATTGACCTGTGCTCATCCTTGGTCCAAAACTTCACAGGGCGCTGCCTCTCTATTAGTGGAGCGAGTTGCCTACATGGAGCCTCCTCCGCCTTCCTCTTGGCCCCACTCTCCTCTACCAGATAACCACCCAACATGTCCATGCTTTCCATGGCTGGAACATCCAGTGGCATCTCAAATTTTTCATGAACAAGATTGCTACTCGATGTTGCATGCTGGTCATTGCTCAACATCGTATGCAACATCTCCACCATGAGATCAACATACAAGTTTATTACCTAATGCTTTCCCTTTGTAGGAAACCTTGCTTGGAGAACATCCACAATGTCAGTGTGCTTCTTGTACATCTTGTAGGCATAATTGTTGTTGGAGTTGTGGCTAGCTATGAGGTCTTTCGCCATCATGATCTCAGAGGCATTCCACTCTCCAGAATTGGGATCCATGGGGTTTCAATACTACACACGATAGATGTTAGTATGAACCAGGATGAGGGATATTGGGACAGGGAGAACAAAAAGGACAAGGTCATGTATTTATAGGCCTTGCGGTGAATCTTTTTGTTCTAGTTTTTATTAATTGTCCAACTATGGTATTAAGCAGACAATAGTTTTTTTTTAAATAAAGTCAAATATATTGAGTCATAAATATATATTTATTTGTTAATGTACATTATAATTTATATAGTTTAGCAATACTGCTTGTCAAGATAGCACTCCTATCTCGTAGATCTCATATCAGACCACTTTGGTCAAGCAAATGAGATGTCAAGCGACACACTTATACACCCACATACATAACAGTTGATGTGGTCATGAATGGACATACCACCACCACCACTGATCTCAAGCACACAATATGGTAGGATACTGGCGCCTGATTTGACTACTATTAGTTGACTATGTCTTCAATAGTGAATTCTCATGATTGTGACACCACTGATCTATATCTATGAGTTGCCACTACATAAATGATCGTGAACAATTCGAATCTTCTATATAAATATACAAATATGTTCTCATGATATGACATTCAATAGTTTTATACCATATTCATATATGAAATTAGAATGAAAGGAAGTTAAATTTTTATAATAGCTAGTTATACATTGCATGGATACCAAGTAAATGCATTATTGTACTTATAAACCGACTTGTTTCTTTTTTTATCATTGGTTAGTGAAAATATTGTACATTAAGCTGAGAAATGGAAGATGTGTAGTATAAAAATGACTGAGAAACATCCCGAGCCAAAGAAAACTAGAACTAGGTGTTCTATTGGCTATTGCGTTGCCATGGTATTGATGCCAATTTTTGTTTCAGACCAAGCAAAGTGTTATCTCTAGGATTCCAACATATGCATTAGCTTTCAACAAAACTATAGAAACACAAAAAGGATATAAGATCATATAACACTCCATGAACCTACCTTGAATTAGACTTGGCTTCAATCAAGGGGAAAGAAAAGCAACTAGGTGAGCTTAGAAACAACAATGGAGAAAACTATGGAAACCCTAGAATACTTAAAATAGCTTTTCCAATCTTTCCTTGGTTTTCAATACACTTTAGTATATTTATGGATGTTAAAAATTTACTTATAAAATTGCATTGAGAATAAATAATGTGCTAAAATGGTAAGCATATAATCAAAGGTACCTAGAATAATGATATTGTTGATGGTCATTAACACCTCATTTTAGACCATCAACTATGCCTAAATTGGTGATATAAATGACATAAACCATAGTCATAGGGCTTATTTCTAACCATTTCCACAAGTTGTGATGACTATGTGAGTGTAGGAACAAGATGGCTATATACATGGTAAAAAACTTCACCAAATGCTGATTTTAACTATACCATGTCGAAGAACTCATCGAGATACGTGAAATTGAGTTTTGGTTCACCTAATTCGGAGTCCGGACGACAAAGTTATGCCTTTTGGAAGATCATCAAACGGGCTGGGCTGAAACAAGAGGCACAGGGGCGTCGGGTGATGTGCAGGGATGTTGGGCGACCCCACACTAAGCCCAAACCCTATCAAACTTGGTCCAAAGCCTCTTTACACATCATAGGACCCAAGGGAAGGTTGGTTTGCACAAATGGAGGCCCAAAGGGATGTCGCCGACGTGGCAGACCTTCTAGAAGGGCCCGTCTTGCTATGCCGGTTACTTACCGACCTTCCTAAGTCGGTTGTGGGCACGTGGAGCATCCTAGCCCTTGATCAAAGGCGGTTTCATCCAAAGGTGTGAGGTGCTCTCCCATAGATTGCTGACATGGCGATGGAGTAGCCCCTACTCTACCTCTCCACTATAAATAGGACCCTCACCCCTCACTTGTAACACACACCACAAGAGAAACTCTCTCTACTCTCAAGATGTACTCTTAGTGTGAGCTTTAGTGGGAGTTCGAGTGAAGAGGAGCTCTTCCTAGAGTCGGGAGCGGCCTTCAGGAGTCTGGTATAGCTTTGTATCTCTCTTGTAGTACTTTCCTTATTTCAATATAATTACTTTCTATGCAATATATTAGTATCTTCTTTATTCACTTATCTTGCTAGTATATGTGTTACAATACCTTTATTGTAGTAATACTTTTGGTTGCCTAGTATAGTCTGAGTAGTATATAATTAGAGTAATGTTCACACCCTTGTGTGGTTTCACTGCTCTTAGTTGAGTGCTCTAGTTTGATCTTCCATTGGGAACTAGAGTAGTATACGATAGTGTAAGCGTGGTGCTTAGGCTAGAGTATATTCCTGTGTTTGCGGCTTGCTCCTCGGATGTGTGGTAGCTAGTGGGTGGTGACAGCCCCACCATCCAGTCTCTATAATACACCATGTGTTTGGGCAAGTTCTTAAAGCGTAGGGCCCGAAGCTGTAATGACACAAGTTATCTTTTGCGGTGCTTGACCGAAATAGAGCTCCAAAGTGCTTTGTGTGTGCTCATTAATCTTGTTATGCTAAGCTATGTTTCTAAGTTATATCTAATAAAGAACCTTTGTGATAGAGAAGAACTTAGGAAACTCCCTCACTCGTTGTCCTCCCACTTAGTTATGCTTTCAATCTACCTTTCTGGGGTAGAACTTCTTGTGTGTCACCCTATCTGATCGTATATCACTTACCCACATTTTTGTCTAGTCGATATACTAGTTAGTGGATATATGATGGATAACTATTAACTTCCTTAGCCATTGCTTCCCTATGGATAAATACAATACCCTGGAATACTCCAGGGTGAAATGCTACAACGGTATTCAGTGCGCTTGTAGAATATTCTACATGAGCATAGGAAATATCAATATATATCTAGAATACTCCCAGTGAAATTCTACAATGATATCCATGCACTTGCTTATTAAAACATGTGAATGTTAAGAATACAAACCAACATTTCTAGCACTATTGCCAGGGAAGGCATTGGGTATAAAGTTTTGATTTACTTCTACTTAGGACTATAACCATAATTATTCATCACTACTCTGGCAGACTTACCCTTGTCTGTTTTATCCTTTGAGTGAAAATAGGTAGTGTATGACTGGTTTCTCCTTGTCGATAAACTTCATTGATAATCCTGAAGCACTCTTGAGAAAGACATGGTCCCGTATTGACCCTTCTCAAGGTTCCTCATCGGTAGCTAAACCCGTTGTTTCTGCATCGGCAACCTCAAGAACTATGACCCAGAAGTACTCAGCCCTATCGGCCACCAGCATCCAAACTAGCCCAGCCATTCACTACTACACTCGTACCTTTCACAGTCGCGTCGTAACCCACATCGCAGTCCAATTTTAGCCTCAGTAGTAAGCTGTCAACAGTGATGCTCATAGCCTTTACCGTCGCCATCTAGGACCGACTGCAATGTACACTAACACCGCCAATTGGCTTATGATTCGTCCGTGATTAGGTCCTTACTTCAGTCGCATTGGAGCATGACCCGGCTGTGGATGTACACTAACACCGTCGCATTGGCAAATGATCCTACTATGTCGATGCTATCAAAACCGTCGTGTGGGCACATGAACCGCCTGTGTAGTGGTCACCAGCATCGTCGCCTTGTACTTTGACCCGACTGTCAGTGGTGTAGATTCACTATCGGTTCGACGGCCGAGACGCATGTGTAGATGTTAACACCACCGTCGCTTCAGCGTATGATCCGCTAGTACAAAGGTCATGGTCACTATCGCCTTGCACCACGATCTACCTTTGATGATCGTTTAGTCGGTGTTGGGTTACTAAAGGATTCAGCGGTGATATACTTTTGATCCCTGCCACATCATACCTATAGCGATGGTGATAGAATTTCATTCCGTTTCACAATAGTTACTAATTCAGCTAGGCCCTTAATAGCTTGATGAACACAAAGCATACAGAAATATAATCATTACATCCATAGATCATGTTCACAAACAAGAGTACTTTTTACAATAACAATGGACGCTACCATAATATATTTCTCAATTGATGTCCTAACACAAACGCTACATAGAGCATACTAAAGGTAATGATCTATATAGACTTACATAACGAAATGACATAGATGTGCTCCTTATATGTGACACTCCTGCTTACAAGGCAAAATGAATATAATTAGTGTGTTCTTCGGATTGGTAGCCAATGCACCATGGAACCCCTCTTATTCATCTCTGATCCACAACCTGAACAAAGTAGTAGAATTAATAATATTGAACATACCATTCCTTTAGTTAACAAGCCAAAATTGGCCTATACATACATAGAATGAAAACAACACCCTACCTGAACAAAGACTGTCGTGACGACGAAATGCAGAAAATGCACCTTTACTGCTCTACTAAAGACTCCATGAACAAGGGAATATAAGGAAGGTAGTAAGGCATGTTCATATGGAAACGCCCTCTTCATCTACAAAAGTGGATGACACGGGCAGGGATGGCATGAACCTTTCTGCGGTCCATATCTTATGCAATCAATGTTCTATCCTTCCCAACATGGAAAATGAAATTCCATTCTAGGAGAACTCTAATCACTCTATACTCCTCATCACAAAGCTCAGAACCAACTTTAATATTCATGCGTCCAAACAGTTCCTCTATGTCCACAACATGCTTCAAAATCTAGTTATCAGTACCATAGTCTTCAAGTTTCCACATTAAAAGCCAAGACCTATTGCAAAAATTAACACAGCACACACACAGGTGACCCAAAGCTTGATGGATGGACATTTTAGCACCACCTGGTTTATGAATTGTCATCCATGTCTCTCTCTCTCTCCATATCCACAACAACTATCGTAGAGTACTCAACCATGTGCATAAAATAATTAAGAAAAACACTTCTCGATTTCAAATATAGAACAATACTATCCTCGCCCCATTTAGATTCCTTAAAGATCCATGCTGCAGTTTTAGATGAGTAGACCTCCACACCTACGCACGCACCCTCCACCTCAACAAATTCAATCACATGGAAGTGCAAG